TGAAAAAGCTGCTGTATTTAAAGAACTGCTAGCTCCTTTAAAGACTTAGAAAACTACACTGAAACTCCAAAAAGAGCTATGAATTAATAAATTTCCATGATTATAAAACTGATAAATTCTACAGTAAGACAACTAAAATGGCAATATTAATAGTATACCCTTTATTGAATACCTATGTGTCTGGCCCTTTGCTCGTATCATCTCATTTCATTCTTGTAACCTGTAAGGTAAGTTAATCTTTTTACTGATAAAGAACTGGATGGCAAAGGCTAAGCAACTTGCCAAGCACCACAGAACGTGGTAAATGTTGGAGATTTGAAGCCCAGTGTGACTCATTTCGAATCTGTTTTTATTTGCTAATATAAACATTTGAGTATGTTCTCATGTTTCCATTTTTATTTAAGACTGAGTTTGAAAATTTTAGTAGTGAAATTTTTCTGGCATTAAATATTTCAAAACTAGCATTTGGTTAGGTAAAACACTGATGTAATTATGATTCTTATTAAAATATTTTGCAAAGATAATCAACGTAAACAAATTTGTCATCCATTTTAAACTATCTAGTTCAGGTAAAATGTGAATTACTTAAATTGAAACTTCAGGTCCTACAACTTGGATAAGCAGATCCTTGAGTCTGATGCAAAAGGCATCATTCAAAGATAAATACATTAAAAGGCAGTAACTGACTGAGGACTAACTTGAAAAGTTTGAAAGGCGAAAAAATAGTTCTCTACGTTATTTTCTGTTTTCAGGAGATGAGTATGATGTATGTGCCATTTGTTTGGATGAGTATGAAGACGGAGACAAACTGAGAATCCTTCCCTGTTCCCATGGTATGAGTAATTACATACTGATTTGAATTTACATATAGTAATTTATATTTAGGTTCCATATTCCAGGGGAAGAGACGGAAAATAGTTACTGGCACACCGTAAGCCAGGCCCTGTACTAATTAGTGGTCTCATTCAAGGATGGAGGTGTATTTATAAAAATGTATAAACTTTCAGGCCAGGTACAGTGGCTCACGCCCGTAATCCCAGCACTTTGGGAGGCCGAGGCAGGCGGATCACAAGGTCAGGAGATCGAGACCATCCTGGCTATCAGTGAAACCCCGTCTCTACTAAAAATACAAAAAATTAGCTGGGCGTGGTGGCGGGCGCCTGTAGTCCCAGCTACTCAGGAGGCTGAGGCAGGAGAATGGCATGAACCTGGAAGGCGGAGCTTGCAGTGAACGGAGATCGCACCACTGCACTCCAGCCTGGGCGACAGAGCCAGACTCTGTCTCAAAAAAAAAATTTATAAGCTTTCTTCCCGTCCCTACATGATACATACAGAACATTGAATATGGCAAGAGATTAAATATAAAAGTATCAACCACAGCATACTAAAGATGTATATTTTGCTTCAACAGCTTATCACTGCAAGTGTGTAGACCCTTGGCTAACTAAAACCAAAAAAACCTGTCCAGTGTGCAAGCAAAAAGTTGTTCCTTCTCAAGGTGATTCAGACTCTGACACAGATAGTAGTCAAGAAGAAAATGAAGTGACAGAACATACCCCTTTACTTAGACCTTTAGCTTCTGTCAGTGCCCAGTCATTTGGGGCTTTGTCGGAATCCCGCTCACATCAGAACATGACAGAATCTTCAGACTATGAGGAAGATGACAATGAAGATACCGACAGTAGTGATGCAGAAAATGAAATTAATGAACATGATGTCGTGGTCCAGCTGCAGCCTAATGGTGAACGGGATTACAACATAGCAAATACTGTTTGACTTTCAGAAGATGGTTTATTTCCCTTTAAAATGTTTAGGTAATATACTGTAATTTGATTTTTTGCTCCCTTCAAAGATTTCTGTAGAAATAACTTATTTTTAGTATTCTACAGTTTAATCAAATTACTGAAACAGGACTTTAGATCTGGTATTTATCTGCAAGAGTGTACTTCATTCACTAATAATAGACTGGTGCTGTAACTCAAGCATCAATTCAGCTCTTCTTTTGGAATGAAAGTATAGCCAAAACATTAAAAAAAAAAATCCTCAGTATAGCTTGCAATTAAGACCTAGATCACAGTATTTAAATGTTTTGTGTTTTATACATGAGGTCAGTGCGACAGCCACCTAGCATGAACTAACCCAGCTTCCACCTCCATAAAGTTACCTAGAGTTGTTGAGTTGGAGTATGTTCTGGCATTTACCTGACCTGCCAATCATTAGGGAGAGGCAACAAGGTAACTCAGCCTTTCCTCCTCCTATCAGCACAAAGAAACTCAAAGCTATATTTTCCCTTTCTGTTCCAAAGCAGTCTTATCCTGACAGGAGCGGTCTATACTAGTGCAGATTTCAACACTTTTTTTTTTTAATGTTTTAATTACTATAGTGTTATGTAGAGATTTGATTCAGCAGCTAATGTTTCTGAACTTTACTTATTAATTTTCAGTGTCCTTAAGGGTTTTGTGGTGTTATCAAAGCAAAAAGAAAATGCTGCATAAAAATACCAAACTTCAGCAACTGTTAATACTCAGATCATATACCTCTTAATAAATAGCATCTTATGCTAATTAGCCCTGCTAAACTATGTACAGAGGAAATTGTTCAAGTATTGGATTTGAAAGTGACTTATGTTTAACAGAACTAATGATGTATTGAAACACTGTATTATGAAAAGCTAAATTATATACATCATTGTAACTATGTAGAAAATGTAGACTAATGTATAATCAAAATGCTAAGGATTTTTATATGGCCTTGTATGAGGGGAGTTTGAATGTTAATAAACATGTTTTCCACTTTAAGATCCAGTAAATGTCTGTTCCACCATTTACTTACCATATTAGTCTTATTTATATATATCCTATAAAGGGATAATGATTGAGGTCAGAGAAATCACATCACCTTAGAATTTTATACAAAGTACTGACCATTCACATGCAGTTAGGTAATCTCCCAAAAAGTTTAGGAGAGTGCTGCCAAAATTATTCCAAAAATAAACAGTGTACATTTTGGTACCCTGTTGTAAATTATGGTGTATCGAGGGAAAATTTCACTTTCCGAATTGCCTTTTAAAAAATGTTCATAATCAGGAAAAAATAGGTATTTCTACTTTGGAAAATAAACGGTTGAATTCAACATCTGCTATCTGATACCTCATCCCTCTTCCCCTTTTTTATAAAAAATTAAAGAACCACAGGCCCGAGAAACAGGACATCAAAGGTTACCACGGTAGTTAAGCAAAGTTTGGAACTGGACATAATTGTATGGCCCTAACCTTTTTAAACCTGCTTGGTCATTTGCATAATTTTCATTTAACCTAAGTGAGGGTGTGAGGACAAAACGTTGGGCTCAGTATCTGGCGCATAAATGTGCAGTAAGTAATAGTCTTCAAAATAATTATTAAATAAAAACATCAAACCTAAAATAGTATTTTAAAATAGGAAAAGAGAAAAAAATAAAAAGTCACAGTAATGGGTAAGTATGTATTAGATGTTATATTCCCTTAGTCTTTAATCCAAAGTTTAGAACAAGGACCTAGTTCCTTTATGTTAGGAGTTTTTATGTAAAAAAAAAATCTACGAAGTGTCTTATTTAGCAGCACTGGCTAGGACTGTTACTAGGTTCTGTTAATGTTCACTTGAAATGTTCTGTAATTTCATGGTATAGCTTTTTGAATAGGACAGTAGGTGCAATTAAAATCCAATTTCTATTTAAAAAACATTTAAAATTTTCTTGATTACAAAAGTAACATTAAAACACTAGAAATCAAAATATAGTCACCTGGAAACTATACTGCCTTCAGAAATACATATGTAAAATACATGTATATTAATACTGTATGTATGTGCACTGTCATGTAACATGTTTGTATTCTCATTAACATTCATTGGTAAGCATTCTCATGTCATTCTTCAATGACTATTTTGTCCTATGGACTTAAAATCATTTATTCAAACCATACCCCTTAAAAAGCTGAACCTTGTAGATGTTTTCCAAGTTTGGATGGCTTAAGTAATGCAGTGTGATGGACATTCTGGTATACAAATTTGTATAGCTTCATTTCCATATGCGAAATTCCTAGAACTAAGTACAAAGCAAAGTATACCTGTATATATTTCCCTAAGTTATTTTTCTAATGAAATTGTGGGTAGAGGACCAATGAATAGTTTCATTATATACTATTTTAGTGATACAGTCACCCTTTACCACCTTCTACCCCCAACCTCCCCTCTGAACACACACACATACACACTGCCCCCTCACCTACTTACAGATTAATTCATTAACAGTTTCAGAATTTTGGTCACTGCTTTCTATAATTGGTTACCCTAATAGTTCCTTACAAGTGAAGTGTGAATGTGTATTATTGTAAAATCTCAAATCATCACAACTCAACCACCAAATTTTCATTTGCCCAATCTTTTGGCCTTAACAGGTCAAGAAACGGATACCAGGTTTTTATTATAGTTTTACAATTTCTAGGTTATGTCCAACTACCAAAATAGCCCCCAGATCCTTTATCTTCCATACTTTTACATCCCTGTGTATGTACAACCATATTCACAACCAATGCCTGACAACCAAAGAAAACTTTCATTATGCATAGTGTAAGACAGATTAATTCCTATTCCCTAACCCATTGTTTCTCAAAAGGTAGCATAAACACCACTTAAAATGAATCAGACTGACCCAGTGATTGTTTCTGTAAAGGGATTCCTGGGCTTATGGACTCTCCATCTCCAGGATGGAACCCCAGAGTCCATAATCTGCCTTATAACCAGCTCCCCAGTTTTACTGAAACCCACTAACTTTTGAGCACCCCTGGCTCTAAGCATCTGCTTGAGTTGTTGGTAATAATGATTTATCTAAATAGCCCTAAATTTACATATTTACCAAACTTCAATACATATCAGGGATTTTATGGCCTCTGGGATTAAGTCTATTACATAGCCATGGTCAACATGTCACTACAAAGCCAAAAAGTGCAAAAGCATCCCAATTACCTTATATGCTGCCTAAGGAATGTCTTCTGCTCTTATGTAGGAGGGCCCCAGTTGGCTGACTTCCGCCTGTCAACACAGCCTCCAAATCTAAAGTCATACGACATTTCAACACAGAAAAATCCACAATAGTGCAGAAACCCTTCTTGGTACTCCCTTTGCTGTTTATTAGATTTCACATCTAGAAACCAGCAAGAAAAGGAAAATACTCATTTTCTAGCAGATGTCAGTTGCTTCTCACATACGCCTGAAGATGAGCCTGAAATGACTAAAAACTGTGTAACAGATCAAAGCCCATTAAAAAGAAATTCCCAGGCACTAATTTTATCTGTAATATTACTTGAAGTAGGCCATCACCTGAATGTTAAAGTTTTATGCTTGCGGCCGGGCGCGGTGGCTCACGCCTGTAATCCCAGCCCTTTGGGAGGCTGAGGCGGGCAGATCACGAGGTCAGGAGTCGAGACCATCCTGGCTAACATGGTGAAACCCCGTCTCTACTAAAAATACAAAAAATTAGCCCGGCGTGGCGGTGTGGCCTCTAGTCCCAGCTACTCGGGAGGCTGAGGCAGGAGAATGGCATGAACCTGGAGACGGAGCTTGCAGTGAGCCGAAATTGTGCCACTGCACTCCAGCCTGGGCGACAGAGCAAGACTCCGTCTCAAAAAAAAAAAAAAAAAAAAAAAATTTTATGCTTGCAGCAGACTTTGGCCTATTCTGTGTATTCCCACTTTGTCAAAAATCAGCTTTTAACAGTAAGCCAACAATTTATATAAACAACAGGAGCCTAGAGTATTTGGTTGGAATAAATTTATTTCATCTGTCTGTAAACAAGGTGTTTAATAGTTATGGCATTTTTTTAAATGCATATTAAATCAGATGAGTTAGACTGTATCCCAGATGTAACAAAGTGCAGGGAAAGAAATGGACAAATCAGCAACAAGATTTGTTTTTAAATCTGTACATTATCCACAAGGCCCAAACAATAGAAGCAAATACTAGAATGTCCCTAAAGTAGTGCCATTCGAAAGAAACCCTTAAGAGGTCGGTTAAAATCCATCTCACAATAGCAACGGTTCATTTTAACAATAGTATGGCACAGAATACATATGAAAAAAATTCATCACAAGACAGCCAAGTCCACAATAATGCAACTTCATATAAAAACTCAAGCTGCAAATAAAAATTGGTCCTATGAAGAACAAACTGGACACACTCCAGATGGTTATGTTGGGATATCTAATGTCCATAATGGCAGCCTTTTACAATTTTACTAAAGAGTAGAGCTGGTGTGCAAAGAAAAAGACAGGAATAAAAATCTGAGCTATTGCAATGATGGAATGTCCCTGGGGAGTCAATCAGTATGGTTACTGTAAGGTCATGGGAGGAAGTGCTTTTTGCTCTTGTTTTGCCATTGCACTCTTCATATGTCCTGTAGACACTATGAATAAAGGTTTGTCTCAAGTGCAACAACAATACTAAAAGCAAACTACTGCAGCTCTCAATAGCTCATCAACAAAAGGGATATTAATTGGTTAAAAAAAACAGGCACTGCATAAAAAAAGATGGAAGCAAACCAAATGCCTATGTGCGAAGGGAGGTGGGGCGGGAAAAAGAGAAGAGTGAAGGAAAGATGCATGCACTTTTTCCTCCCAACCATGCGCTACAAAAGGAAGACTAAATGAGCCAAGTAAATGCTCAAAGTGCTGAAAAGACATTGATCAGAGATTGTACAACCGGCACCTTGCTTAATATTAACTTATTTTAGTAATCAATATCCCATTAATTGCTAAGACAAAGTGATGCCCAACTTGGCATGCCCCCTCCCCCCAATTTCAAGGTATCATGCAAATCATTATTGTGCTGCAATTACGTTGCCAGATAAGGGTTGGTTACATACAGTGGTTAACATACAAATGATCCATTGGGCAAACAGGAATCATGACATTAGAAAATAGGTAAAGAAAAATTAGCTACCATCTATAGTTTGGTAGCATTGTGACCATAATTAGGGTTGTTGATGAAGACAGTTGCTAGGTAGATGGGGAGAGGCTGCTTACACATCAGACCTCCTCAGGTATAAAGCGAGTTCATATGCTTTCTTGTTAAGTGTGCCTCCGTGGACACCTTCCTTTCCCATGACTATAACCAATGCTGGAGTACACAAGGAAACAAAACAAAAGTGAACAGAATTACTTGGGGGGGGAGGGCAGAAAGAAAGACACCTTTCCCCACCAACAGAGGGATACAAAGGAGACACAGGTTCATACCCCATCACCCTGCATTGCTAATAAAATTTCCAGAATTAAGACTTAAGCTTACAGCTAGGAAAGTTTAAGAGCAATTTTCCCCTAATACTTAACAGTCTGCCTAGCAGCTAGAACCCAGAGTCTCTCAAGTATTTTGCCATTGAGTATGCCTTCTTATTCAATCCGCCTCCATGGACCCCTTCTTTTCCCATTACAAAGACCAAGACTGAAAGAGAAAGAAGAAAAGTGTTTCAAAAGAAGTGTTAATCAAGAAAGTCACATAAGTTTTAGCAGACAGAACCCCGATTAATAAGTTAACATTAAGTTAGTTTTCCATGAACTGCCAAGCACTGAAATCAAGTAGGTTTCCAAAAAGAACTTTCAAACTAGTAATATACTAAACAGAAAATAGTAAACTTGAATGCATCTTGGAAGCCCAATCAATGCAAGCAAAAGTTCTATACAACTATCTTTACACTAACTACAGGAAAAAAAAAAAAAAAAAGGTGATCATTTGTCTTCTATTTTAGGGCAAAAAAATTCTGGCTTATGTCAAGTACATGTTATTACTTGTCCCAAACATATAAACTTAATAAACTCAGGGAGTTATTTACCTACAAACTCTCCCCAAATTTTAACATGCTTGACAAGTTTAAACTATTACATTTTACCAGTGAGGCTAAATGTATCTCTTATTTCCAAAGGAAAATGAAGATCAAATTTTAAGTAGCATACTCAGTATCATTCAGAAAAGGCCAAATTAAATTATTTAAGGTGTTTGCTTACTGATAACTTCACTGTACTACCCTTGTTTTTAATTGCATCTAAAAAAATAGGTTTACGATTTCTAATCGCTCTTGTATAATGCAATTCAAAGGTCTATAACCCAAAATATATGTATATATCAAATTTTATATTCACTACCACTAGATGTCAGTAGTGCTGTAGAATATAAAAATATTCTGGTTTTTTTTTTTTTTTTGTCTTGTGCTTGACGCTTCTTTTTAGCATATAGTGCAGCTAAGGTTTAAGGAGATTTGTCACTATTTCAAAGTCATCTAATTTTCTTATAAATACTTAAAACATCAACTCACACCAGAATTACGAGTAACTTTTAGGATAATCACAGGGAGCTGGTAGAGCCACAGCATTAAATTACAACTCAGGGCAGCTTCAAGTCCCCTCACATGGTAGAGCTGTTATTAAAATTAGATGTGCCAAGTCAGCTATGTGAGACTACAGAAGCACTCTATATTTACAAAATATTCGTATGCGTTAACCCATTTAAATGTATTTGTAAATCAATCAGATGTCATAATAAACCTCAATTTCAAAAGTTTATTTTGAAAAAGTAGGGAGACTTAGTACAATTAAGAGTTTCTATAATGCTGACAACAGTCTGGAGACACCTGAATTTTTGGACCAAGTATACAAATGAAATGTAATTTCCTACTTTTCAAATCTAAGTCTCAGACACACAATTTTTGAAAATATTTCAGTGAATGGATAACTTACTCCAAAATCCTCATCTAATTATCTCTTCCCCAGCAAAGTTCCTAACTGAAAAATGAACTGATGTTAATTTTTACTTCTTTATGCTGAGTAGTGAAATGGTTAGCATACAAGCAAGAAAAAAAAGAAAAGAGATCCAAAGGTCAAACACAAACTGCAAAAGACTAAAATAACCAAGTGACTCCAACAATTTAACAATCTGAAACACCACACGATTATCATTTGACATGCCAAGCAGTTTAAGAGACTTTTAAGTTTAATAAAGCTGAAAGTGAGTTGATACGAATATTCTACCTTAGAACAAAATCAGGATCTAAGAGGGCAGGTTGTAGATGCTGTAGAGTAGGTAAAACTAAAGCAGTGCTTCTCCATAGTGCTGGGCAGTTCACAAAAACCACCTTAATAGCCATTATGGACTAACTTTTATTCAAAATGTTAAAAGAAACTGCTTAATAAGTTGTAATGTGGCATGCAACTTTTAACCAAAAGAATGCCTTACTTACCTCTACCAGCTCTGCCGACAGCAACGTTGTATGTTGGCTCCCCACCTTGACTCTTTGTCCGGATGTCCATTGTGCAGTCACCATCGACGTATAGACTATCTCTGATCACTGAGCATTTCTTCGCGCCAAGAGTCAAACCGTTGGTAAAGAAACCTTCCCGGTCTTTTCCTACAATCATATCTATTTCTATTGGCTGCCCCCCACCAGAAAGGAAAAAAAAAAACAAAAACATGAAGTTGTAGTTAATTCCTTTTAGGGCTTGATGTTAACAGGAAAGGCTGTGTGCTATGCCAGACAGCCACATTTCACTAACGTAAAACCAAGATTCGGTCTTTTCTAATAATTACTTAATCCTATATAATCACATCTTTTACATCAGTTGATTTGATTTCAGTTAACGGTGTCGTCTCTTAACCAAGACCAGTCTATACAAACAAACTCTAAATAATTGATAGTTGACACTAGACAAAGTGCAAACTTAAAGAGTTATTTATAAACTGTATTAAGTCAGCTGGTGCCTGAAAGTGTTCACGTAATGGTAAAAATTCAGCTATCAACTCTTTGAACACAGCTGGTCTATCATATTCAGTCCCATTACAGTAAATCATGTTTCATCACATTTAAAGTTGCTTCAAAGTCTCCCAAAATAAAGCCTGTTCTTTGATTTGTTCACTTCTCTGCTTGGAATAACTAGAAATATACCTGATGATATGGACTTCAATCCCTGGACATCAGTGCTTTTCCAAATTCGTATTTCCCTCCTATTTTTCTAGCCACGACTCCTGTTTCTTTCCAACTTCCCTTCCCCTCCCATCTCAGTAATCAGTTTTCTTTCTGGGCAAACGCAAAGTGGATTCTGTCTACAGCACTGCGGTAGGCAATAGTAAAACAGAGAAAATGGAGGGAGATTGGGAAAGAAACTGAGGTAGCCACCAGAACCGGAAAGGAGAAAACGTGCATTCTAACATTCCATGAATAAGAAGGAAGGCGTCGCCCCCATCAGAACTGCAGAGTCATAGCAGGCCCCAGCCATTTCCAAGCACACTCCCGCAATCTTCCTAGTCAGACAGCGGGAACTCACACACAAAGACAAGAGGACTGCAGGAAAAAAGTTGATGACCAGATGCCAATTCCCTACAAGAATTGTAGTCCACTGCGGGTATACGAGACCTTAAAGTACTAGCATTAAGGACTGAGTTCTAAAGTCAGACT